TGAGGTTAATTGGTGATTCTAAATTGTCCATAGGTGTGAATGTGAGTGTGCTGATTGTCTGTCTCTAAGTGTAGCCCTGTGATAGACTGGCGATCTGTCCAGGGTGTCCCCTGCCTTCACCCTAAGTCAGCTGGGATAGCCTCCCCGTGACCCTGGTGAGGATTAAGCGGTGTATAGATAATGGATGGATGGATAGATAATGGCTGGATGGATGTTAATCTATGTGTGAAATATAGGAATGTGTTGCACCCATATACCTAATAACTGCTTTTACTGCCTAATATTTTGTAACCTGTGCTGTGGATTTCTCATGGCTAACTGGGTAAATATTATATCATGTTATATATTACATATATACAGTCAGTGGTTTATGTAAGTATAAATGCAAATACTTTGTAGCCATGCTGTGACTGACATTTAAGGTATATTCAGTAATATTATTTTTAAAATCTTACACTGCTCTTTGTAATCAATTAACCGTAAATTGGGGCCCCAGCACGAACAGATGGAGGCTAAAATACATATCAGCATGTTAAAGATGACAAACGCTGCATCTTATAAAAAACAGTGCTTTTATTTATGTAATACTGTGGAAAAATAATTACATACCATTTTTAAAAAATATTGAAGATAATGAAATTAAAAAATGAGAGTTTGATAACGTTCGTTGTACATCTTTTGAACAGTTTTCTCTGCTACGAAGAACAGTACAATAAGATAAACATTGGATTTTTCTAAATTCAAAGACACAATAATACAGGATACAGTCCTACCAGAGGTATAAAAGTACTGTAACAGGATTGTGAGAGAAATGATATGGACATATACTGAAACACACACTCACTTAGACACAGACATGCACGCACACACACGCACACACACACACACACGCACACACATACTGTATACACACAGACATGCATACAATAGTCCCGCGCACACTCAAGTGGAGTGCAGCGTGTTTACAGTATGCTTCCCGTACACACACAGCCATTCACACATCTATACAAACACACTGTACAAATCAATGTGCGCGCCAACGCCCACACACTCCCCCCTTGATCTCTCTCTCTCACACTCGCACACCCACACACTCACAGTCACACACTACTACACGTCAATATTGTGGACAAGCCTTCAATAAACCTCTCCATACACATTCTCCTCTGGCCGTTTTGGCAGACAGACAATGAGGAATGATTCAAAATGGAAATGTATGACATGTTCCCCTATAAGGCCACTCAGTTCTAAACCCAACATCTGTGTTTTTCTCTCTGTCTGCACCAGGCTTGTAGTTAAGAGCTCAGCGAAAAAAGGCTCCAGCCTACAAAAATGTCTGGGAATGACTCAAGGCCCCCGAACCTGGTTTGTAAAGCAACAGTCGCCAATAGAAGGAGCGTCTACTGCATATACATGGTCTAAGGTGAAGAACAACATGAACACTTGGCACTAGGATTCTTTTTTACACTGATACACCCTTCTGATGTGGAATACATCCTGAATTCAGGCTCTTCTGTTGGCACAACTCTTCACTCCGTCTCAGTGGATCTCGCTCAGGCGAATGCCCAAGTTTATGTGCGCTCACGTTCAAACTTTTGGTCCATACATACACATTACATGTTTTACATTGACAAAAATAATTCTGTAATGTTAAAAAATAGAATACAAAGCTCTAGTCTGGTGTGCAAATAAAAAGAAGACATAACACAGATATAGATAAGGGACGTCTAAGCATGAATACTGTAGATGCAGTGCAAAATGATGACAAACCCTCCCAACCCCTCCCCGGCCCCAATACGCTCCCCCCCACCCTGCCCAACAGGCCTGATGGCAGGTACCACTGTACAGAAGGGCATTTTGGGATACTATATATATATATGTGCTCTATGATCACGGAATAAGACAACCAGCAAAAGAAAAATAAAAAACATTATTGAAAAATGGCGGCCAGAAATGACTTCCACTGGTTGAGGTTTCTTCTGATCAGCGTGTACCATATTTGACAGTCAGTTTGCTTTAAGACGTTCTCTCATCATTTTACAATGTCAGTTCATAGCAAAGGCTATGGGCTCCAAAGATCTGTGATCTCTCGTCCTCTTTCAGGTTCTTGCTCTCTTTCCCAGTCTTGATTGTGACTTGCGCTGTCTGCTCTTTCAGAGCTCAGATATACAAACACATCGGGAGTGAGGGAATTCAAAACTGTTTGGAATTTCCCTTCCCTGTCTCACTAAAACTCCTTCTTTTCTACTCTCTTTTTTTTTTTGCTCCCTTTGCCTCTGCGTTTCTCATACCCTCTCTGTCTCACGGGCATGGTTTTCTGACTTTGTGCATGGGTGTGTGTGTGTGTGTGTGTGTGTGTGATGTTTTTTTGTGTTCTGTAGTCGTGTTTGTGTTAGCGTATTCGTGATAGCGTGTAAAAAATGTGTGCATGTAAATCTGTGATTGTGTGTGCGTTTTAGGTGTGGCGCTATTTATAAGATGCTTCCTCATGCTCAGCTAAGACTGTGAGGTGGTTATTCGTCTCCGTCTCACACGTGAGTCTGCATCCTTTGTGTGTGTCGGCTGTGGGAGTAGTCAGAGTGTTGCGAGGTGTAGGAGAAGCGAGTGGAGCTGCCATACTTCCCTAGTCCAGTCTCTGACCCTGAGGGAGCTGGGCCCCCCGGGCCAACCCCGACCCCAGGGCTCCCCACACCAGATCCCACCCCGTACATTTCATAGGATGGGCCGGCCTCCAGAGGGGCCAGGCTGGACGGAGCAAAACCCATGCGGTAGGTCTGGTAGTGTGAGGGGTATCCATAGTTGTCATAGGCCAGCTGAGAAGTGGAGTCCAGGAGGCTACAGTCTCCAGGGAAGTCACTGGGTGGCGGGGCAGGGTTAGCTGGGGGCTGCTGGGTCTGGCCCCCACGGGTGAAGGTGTTGAACTGGGCGTAGCTGATATGGGACAGTCTGGAGGGCGGTCGGGGGTCGTAGCAGGCTTGCGGGCGACCGGGGGAGGTAAGGGGGCCAGGAGGACCAGGGGCTCCTCCGCTGGCTGTTGCTCCCGAGCCTCCAGTGCTGCTGCTGATGGACGCTGCTCCCCCGGGTGTTCCTGCAGGGGAGCGGTAGTCAGAGTAGTGCATGGTGGAGCGGGACGCAGGGCGGACTTCGTCGTGGGTGGAGGCTCGCACATTGTAGTAGCCATTGGTGGGGTCCTGAAGAGAGCGAGTGACAGAGCAAGATAGCAAGATGCACAAGACAGAACCGGCATTAAAAGGTGGAATTAAGGTCAACATTAAACAGTTCTTTACACTTGTATAAAATTCTTTAGGTCAAAGAGTCTCTGTAACCTCATGGTCCTCCCTGATCCCCACAGAGAAATGTAGAAGGTCAGAAGTCAGAGTGAACTGCACACATGGAGCTAGTCAGCATCCAGGTCCATGTTCATTAAGATTTTGCTGTGATGGCAGTTTGCTCCTTCTTTGTGACTCAGCTGCTTGAGTCTTTTTCAGAAATGCATGCAAATTCATTTCTTTGTGGTGTCCAAAAATTATATTGACACCAAATGCAAGAGCAAATTACATGTTTCAACTTCAGGACTAATTTAACAAAACTGCCGTCCTAGAACAATTCCAAATGATGTCAACTTCTACTTTCAACAGGCCTTGGCAGTACAGGTATACTAGTGTATAACTTTTATAACAAGATATTACTAAGAGGACACAGTCTTGATCTTCAGTACTTCATGTTCAAATAAATATTCTTGGGAACAATTATGAGATTTGAATCAAAGTATAAGGATGATGTGTCCATTCTACATATGGTTGGTACCATCTACTAAATTTCACAATGTACTGTATTTGCACTAATGTACAATATGTGATTAAAAAAAATTCAAGGGACTGTGTCTTTAAAAATGTTCTTGTGTAGTGATAAACTGCTGGCAGTGCTCCTGTCATGTTTAAGACACTCTCTGGAAGTCACCGTCTGACCACTTGCAGGGGAACATTTATGATTTCACCATTGACCTCAAACTAGCGCAAAGAGCAAACATCAGCCTCAAACTGACTCATAACTGGTGACGAGAGGTTGGTCTACAGTTACAACCAACAGACCAAAGAGAAGTCTTCTGTCAAAGTTATAAAAAGTGAAGGAGGTACATCATGACCAAGAGAATGCTTGTTGTTCTGTTCAACAATCACAGGGTTTTGCACCGTGTCCCCCAGAGTCAGACTATCAACGATTAATTCTACTGCAGCATCTTAAAACATCTGATGGAGAACATTCAGCACAAACACAAGCTGAACTGTTGCGTGAGCCATCATGCCACCGCTCTCAGCATGTTGAAAACGTGACTTTTTTTGGGCCACACCAACACAATTTTTGCTCTTCACCTGCCCTACTCGCCAGATTTGGCTCCCTTCCTCCTCTTATCCAAAATTAAATTCAGGTTTGGTATTCTGAGACGGCGAGGGAGATCCACCGCAGGTTGCGGGTGACGTTTGACATGCTTACAGAATAGGACTTTCAAGGAGTTTTCCAAATGTGGCAGGAGCTCTGGGAGCAGTGTATTTCTGCACAAAAGGATTACTTTGACGGAAATAGCGGCCAAATTTAAATCCCATAAGGTTTTTGGTCTTTTCATACTATTTTGTTCTTGCAGGAAACAACTCAAGACTTGTACTGATGAAGATCAATAAAACTGCCAAGTTGGACTGCTTCAGTCCAATAAACTCCACAAAACAACAAAGATATTTAAGTCATTCTTCGTTTTTTAAGGTGTTTAAGGGGCTGTCTCACCAACAGCTACATCTGTTTTATTATTTACAGCTGCTAGTAGCTCCCCGATTTAAAACAGTACGTTTAAAAATCAACCATTTACAAACGATACATTCTGCCTGTGTACATGTTGTCTATTGTGTTCCCCGTGTGAGCACAAACTCAAAGCCTGCTTTGAGGTATTACATCATGTAGTACAGAACTAGGGCACAGCTTTCATTCATTTTTTTGACCAGCTTAAAAAGGAAATTTAAAAGTCAGATTTGCCCCACTGTTGCTCAAAGCTTTCACAAATGTAAGTGTCCATGTTTTACCTTTAGACCATCCAGCAGGGTGGATCCCTACAAACATGCAGGATTGACCCCCGGCTTCCTGGGTGAAGAAATGAGGCGCTCCCTGCTCACTACACACCCTTAAAGAATGCTTTAATAGTGCTTTTCTGCTCTTTTTGACATGATTCTGCCATCTCATTGTCTTTCACGTACCAAACTTCTCTCCTGCTAAACTTTGTTTCACTACTTTGATGCTTCAGGCAGCGTGGAGGAGAAAAAAATATATTTAAAAAAAACTGCCTGGCTGAGGCAGTTGTCGGGCTGATCTAAGCACCTCCTGGGGTGGACTCATGTCTATGTTTCTTCAAAGTGATCCAAGGCAACACTCCAGCTAGGGGGGTGGTTTGTTTGCCCTCACAAAATATTCATGGGGGGGAGTTTCTGAAGAACATTTTGGCAGCTTTACGCGTGAAAATACATTCATCACCTTAACCCAGCCCCACAGTGTCAAAACGTATAAATGATTCATGCCAGCTAAATGAGAAGAGAAATGCTTTAACGTTGGTTCTTTTTAAAATTTCTTTCCAGGTTGAGTTGTTTTTCTGTATTTTGTCTTTTTAATGACTCTACAGTGAGGGAGCCAGCTTGCTAAGTAATCAGAGAGGCAAGTTGCGTCATAGTTGGACTGAGAGTGAAGGGCAGAGAAGACCAAAGGAGCTCAAATAATTAAGTCGTACTGCAGCGGAAAATATTTTCATCTTAAATCTTCCACTCTAATATTCTCACAGATATCGAGTGCAACGTTAAGTTTAAAGGTCCGCTACAAACACCAGCAAATGAGGTAGAACACATCACCTCAGTGTCAACTTTTGTCGATAAGTTCAAATGACAAACCGACTTAAAATCATACAACGAAAAATCAATCTGGACTGATATAAATGGCAGTGCATCTGAGTGATCTCACCTTTAGGTCGTACTCCTGGCGGGTGTCCAGAGTGTCACTGCGGAGGTCGGACTTGAGCTCTATGTCATCTTTAAAGGGCTGATTGGAGGGAGAGAAGGACACAGAGGGGAGAAACTAAACCGTCAAACAACAAAACGAAAAAAACAAAAAGGAGGAGAGAAGGTGAAATAACAAAACGGAAGAGGGAAGGAGGCAACAGAGTATGACAGGAGAAGAGAAAATGAATTAAAAGTGTTAAAAAGGAGGCGATTAAAGGGGGGGGGAAATCATAGTGTTTGTTTTTAGTCAAAAGGTACAGTGTGGAGTAGGGGAGAGGTTACTGAGTTAATCTGATTTTTTTCTTCTACAGCTACAGGCTGTGTAAACAGTGTCCAACCCAAACACACACACATCCCGCTGCTGCTCACCGAGTACATGGCCTTGACCATGCGCGAAGCTGTGGACACGCTGCCGGAGTCCTCCTCCAAGCTGTGGGTCTCCTTGTTTATCGTCTCCACCTTAATGTCGGGCTTACCCAGCGTGACCCCGCGCCGACCTGGAAGCAAAACACGGCGAGGTTGAATACAGCTGGACACACGCTTGTCTGTTTTCATGAGCTGAAGGAGCAAATTCAGCAGAGACCTACATACATAGGAGGTTATGTAGGTGTTTGATTTTCCTTGGTTTGCTGCAATACTGAGCACGATGCGCCGTAAAAGGCACGAAAACCTTTGAAATTTGCAAACTGATGGTTTTTCTTTATCTCATATGTGAAAGCACATGGAGAGCATGACTCACTGCCTTTGCGTTGCCGGTAGAAGATAAGAACAAGGACCAGCAGAAAGATGAACAAGAGGATTGTGGAGCCCACCGTCCCACCAGCTATTATCCCCACTGGAACCTCCTCTGTAATGACAGGGTGAGATACAGACAGACAAAAAGAGTGAGAAAAACAGTGAGTTAGGGATTGTAATGTCTGTACAGAGCTGAGATTTGAATGTAGAAAATGTAACGACTTTACACCACATAGGAGTGCTTCATCCCTCGTTACCAAGACCATATAGATGCTTTCTATTTGTCCAAATTAAAATCTAGTTATTAGGTTTATTTAAAATGCAAAATGTAGTACAAAATGAGTATATCATCGCCAAAACCTTCTTTGCATTTAGGAGACACAGTGAATCTATAAAGCTATTTTTGCAGTCCTAACCTATACAGCATGTATTTTCTGCATTTGTTTTCAAACTCAAATGATTTGTTTTCCCCTGATGAAACCCCCTGCGCTACTTCTAAAACAAATGCATCCCGAACACACCAGTCTCCTCCAGTGTGATGATCATGGTGCCCGGTCCGAACGAGTTCCAGGCCGTGCAGTTGTAGCTGGACAGAAAGTCCGACTCCATCACGTTGTTGATGGTGAGGGTGGAGAGGACGCCGCCGCCCTCTGCTGACGGTTTGCTCTGCTCCACCGTGTACCTCTCCAGCAGCGTCCCTTTCTCTTTCTCCCACACGTTCTCCTTCCAGGCCCACACCTGCAGCAGACAAACACACAGGAAGCCACATTTGGTCAAATTAAGAGCTCAGGGAGGTTGTGTGATGACATTCAACAGATTTAAGTTGTTCAATACATTATCTCCTTAACTACTAGACACAACTAAACATGTTTTCAAGATTTCACTGTAATTTCTCCATGAGGACAGTAAATTATGAAATCAAGTCATCTGCATATAGTAATGACCTCACGCATGACTTTCCTGTGTTTTTTTCTTGTCAGGGTATATAAACATCTGAAAGACCACTTAAACTACACAGCAACTCAAACCCTGCTGGTGAGCTCATTTGGTAATGAAAAGGCAAACACGCTCATGTACACATGCACTGAGCCATGAAAAGGGTAATTAATGTAGAAATATATAAGTTTGTAATCTTAGAACTAATGATGAGTCTGTTTTAGCAAAGCAGCAACACCCGTAAAAATAAGGCTAACGTGTAAGTGGCAAAAACGGCAGTTCCTCAAATGGCCACTCTAAAAATGAGTCAGTCCTCATAGGGTCCCATGTTAAAATGCCAAACTGTACAGTATAAATAAACATGTTTACAGCCTGGTACAAAAAGCAGTTTTGGTCTCTATAGCTAATTCACCCCTCACATAACAAGTGTAAGGGGTGAATTTTTACATAGCATATTTGATTAAATTGCATTAAGGCTTAAATATATGTATAATTAAAGATCACTTCATGTGGGTCCTATCATGGGATAGTCCACCTCAGCTCCTCTCATGCTCCACCTCTTTGCTTATGTTTGGATTAACTGGGAATTTGAGAGTCAGGCACTGCCAAGACGCCGACAACCATCCAACCATGAACTTCAGAACTGCTGTTCAGAAAACCTATTCATCTTTACGTATAGTCGATGGTTTTAGCAGTCAAAAGTGCATCTAGATAAAGAAACTAGGACTCTATTTGAGCATAAGAGTATATCAGAAATCCCAAATGCTTCACACAGTGATGTCTAAGAACTCTTAAGGCTGTTCTTAAGTGGAAGTGGGTCATTTGTATGCATATGTTTTAGAGCTGTATGAACCAGTTCCCTTGACAACGGGTCTGTACAAATGTGCATTACTATTTCTATTCTTTTTTTTTTTCATACGTGCATAAAAATAAAACGTAGTAAAAGCCTATCAATATGAAAAAACAAAATATACTGATTGTGATTAAAGGTTCTAATGTGTTTAAACAAAAACAGAGCAACTTGCTGATGGGATATTTATTGAAAAAGTCATTACAAGCCCTGACGGATCAGAGATGTTTTTGCATTGTAAGTGGGACCACAACACAGCAGTAGGTCGGTGGTTTTATTGTTGTGGCTGCCTGGTGCATTTGTCGAACGCAAACATATACAATAGAAACGCCTGACTGTAGCAAATAAATTCAAACATCAACGCACACATTGCATGACTTCACAGGACCAGCAACAATTTGTATGTTCCCGCAAACTGAATTAAAGAGGATAGCGGTGACTGAGCTGGTGAGAATCTTGCACATTCTCCAACTTTAAAGCCACTAAAAGCAGCTGTATTATTCAGCACTGAAGCACTGTACTAAGGTGAGTTAATTATGCATAAGCCCACATGTTCCCATAATCTTCCCGCTTATTCCAAAGAAGGAGATTCTCCTTGCTGTGGCATTTACTGGGACAACTGTTCCTCTCCCGTCCTTTATATTTTATAAATCTTTTTCTGTCCCAACCTTCGTCACTTGCATTAGGAGCGCGCACTATGAGTCAGGATGGATCAGTCACAGAGGCAGGGGAGCCGAGGAACTACTACTACAGTGTTTCTGTTATACAGCCAAGCAGAGAAAGCATCCAGGCTGATTTCTGACGCAGAGCTAAAAGCAGGCTGGCTTAGCGTTAGTGTTGGTTTGTTTATGTGATGGGATGGAGGAACATTCTGGGAGAGTTTAAGGGTGAGTCACCGCTGAAAAAGAAAAAGGGGACAGTGCCTAAAAGCATTCACCATGTAGGAAAGGAGCCATTTAGGAAAGGGAAGGTACAGTAACAGTGAAATACAAATTGCTGTCAGACTAAAAGGTACAGCCTTGTGCTCTTTATGGCCAAAGCTTTTCCTTGTTTGGCATTTTCCTCATCTGAATAATTGATGCTGGAGTAAAATTTGGAATTTTTCTTTGAAGGGTTGTTGCCAGATATGTTTCACATTTTCATATATTTTCACTCACTATCTTATCTGGAGGAGGTGTGCTGGCGATGTAGCATTTCACCTCTCCTCTCTCCCCTCTCACAGCATACTGGACCGGATCACTGGAGATGATAGGTGGACCTGCAGGGCCAAAATCACAGAACATGTGAGTGTGTGTGATAGAAAGAAATAATGGAAAATACACTTAAAACACAAACAACTGCACAAATCGTATTCAAGCTGGATGGTTTTTCTTTAACAAAAAAAAAGAAGAAAAAAAAGATGTTGACCTTACAGGCCTATTCAAGAGGAACTGTAGGAGTTTTTTTTTTTTTTTTTTTTTTTTAATAAAAATGCCCACCACTTTGGACACTTTTTTTTTTCAATTAGTGACAAGCTGACCTTTTTCAAAGTACACAATATTCATCTACAAGCAGTGATACATTAAATTGTGTGGATGTTTTCTGACCGTTGACTGTGAGGGTGACCTCAGTCTCTCCTACTCCAATCCGTGGGACGATGGCCTTGCATACATACTGGCCAGCATCCGCCTGGCTCACCGACTTCAGATACAGCTGGTTGCTGTTACTCAGAACCTGTGGGGGAGTGAAAAAACAGAACACAAATATAAACAAGGCAAATCTACAAACCAGCAGGAGGGGGTAAACTTAATACGAGTCCACATGTAGAATATATAAGCAGAAGGGAGGCCAAACTAACATTGTACAGCAGCTCCACCTGCACACTTTAATCATTTAAGAGATCACATTGCATATATTACTTGAGCGTATATGGTCTACTATTCTGACCCTATCTGGCTAACAATGTAAACTTGCACATCTGCTTTTAACTCAGCACAAAGGTTTTGTAGTTGCCTAGCAACCACATCCATCAGAAAATTAGCTGTGTGAAAATTATGGCTAAATATGTAACCACCTAGAGAGAGAGAGCCACCTGAACAAGAGTGATTATACAGACGTGGGTGTTGGCCAAGTCAGTCCGTAGTTTGCAAAGGCAGATAGATGTGTAACAAAGCGGATTTCATTTACTCTGCTGCAACTGTCTCGTACTTAGTCCCGGCTTCTCCTCCACTATGAACAGTAGCTTAATGAGAGCAACAAACCTAAACAGACTGCTTCCTAAACAAACAGCCAGTGGTCAAGGAAGCTGATATTAATATTTAAATACACCCACAAGCTACAGCTTTGGTTTCTGGCTGGTGTACACAGTCGATGTTAACAATAGATCAGTAGTGGTTAGCTTAACCAGATTTTTAGCTAAAAACGGTGTTATAAAACTGAATTTAACTGAACAACAGCAAAGGAGAATATTTAACAATATTAACACCATTCTCTGTCAGCCATAGAACTGTATTGTTGCTGGGGATTTTTTTCGTAAAGGCATTGCCGGAACCATGGTTATTCAAGACCTTCAATCCAAACAGTGTCATTTCATCATCTTCTATATAGCTCACATATCTATTTCTGCAGCAACATTCAAATTACTATATGAGTGAGAAATAGTGCGAAATATGAGAGAAATCAAAGAAAATAAATTCAAAGAAAGAGATCACAATAGCTTAAAAGAGAGAAGAAAGATCCATTTGCACAGACAAGACAACGCTCCTCAATGACAGGAAGCTTTTGTAAACACAGGAGAAGAAAGTGTGACCTGTAAAAATAGTATGAATACGAGAACAGAGTGAAAAATGCGCACAGCGTGGGCTTGCAGCTTCTTACCATGTTTGAACCCTTTTTGAACCAGGTGAGTGTGAGCGGAGGGTTTCCAGCCCATTTGCAGTTGAGGGTGACATCAGAGTCGACATCGACTGTTTTTGGCTGCGGCTCCACCAACAGGATCGGGCCGACTGGAGACAGACATTGAGAGAGTAAGAGAGAGAGAGACAGAGACAGAGAGAGAGCGATGTTCTTTGTTGTGTTTGAGTAATAATGCAGTAGGACTAAAGGGGAGAAGCTACTCGGAGAGAAAAGAAGCACAACAATGGTGTGTTTCATCCCTCTGACTCCAGACTGTAGTGAGTGAAGTGGGCCACAAGTGATTGAACAAGGTGAGATGAGTACTGCGTGACTCACAGTGAACGTCCACCAAGATGCTGACGTTGGTCTTTCCCACAGCGTTGAAAACCAGACAGGAGACAGGCTCGGTGAAGAAGGAGTGGTCGGCCTTGGTGGTGAACACACTCTCCCTGGCACCCTGCAGCACCACGCCGCCTTTAGCCCACCTATATGTACCCAAAAAAGCACAAATGAAAACTCAAACAACTTGTGCTTTATTTACACTGACATAAAGCGGATTAAAGAACACAGACTCAGCTAAACAGTTAAAATCATTCAAAACAAAAACTGTTCTGTCATGCAGTTTCGCTGCTACTTTAAGAGGCTTGGTGAACATGAGAATGGAGCAGACCTGTAGCCCATAATAGGAGGGTTGGCGTGAGCCTGGCAGGTGAAGGTGACTCTGTCCCCTTCTAGGACAGAGCGAGGCTCAATGGACAAGGTCACTGTCGGTGGATCTGGGAGAGAGAGACAGAGAGAGAGAGTCTCATAACAACCTTACTACGTCTGATGCATGCTGCAGTCTGGAGGACGGTCTCATGCAAAATGGCTGCCACGCATTACTTAATAACAGCTATAAAACCCCCAGTCTGGCGGCAGATGTTATACATTTAAAATTACGATGCTTGCTACATTTAATTACACATAAATTTAATAATAACAATTTATGCAGTAGCAGGAAGGGTAATAGTGTCATATACTCTCGTAAAAATTGCATATTTTGTCTCAGCTGGGTGATAAATCTTTTGCCATGTTCATCTTTTTCATTCAGGTATCCGCACAGAGTTGAGTAACGAATAACAAAAATAAATACTTAAAAATTAGTTTTTCCCTAAATTTGTGGTATTTTAGATTAAGAGCAGCGTCGCTTACGGTGCACGTTGAGGGTGACGGTTGTGCTTTTGCCGGTGGGAACAGCCAGGTTGGAGGCCACGCAGCTGTAGTTCCTCCCAGTGTCGGTGTCAACGGGCTGGATAGGCAGGTAGCTACGTGTGGTCACCCTCTTCCTGTCTGGAAGCACCTCCTGATGATTAGAGGACAGAGAGATTTAGATGAACACTCATCTTACCAACATATTTCAGTTACAAGGACGTCTGACTTGGGTCTCTGTGGTGTAACTACTGTCTAAAACAACTATTGTAGCAATATAATATTACAATAATCTTAGTCATGCAATAAATACCTGAAAAAAACATATGCATGATACACTATTTTACAGTCTTACCTTGTACAATAACACATACAGCAAACTGAAGCTATTAAAAGGTATTAAAAGGGCAGGATTTAAGGTAATTTGCTGCATTTGTGTCTGTGACCCACAGCAAACATGAACTCAGATACTTCCATCTATTAAAACTGCATAGGCAGAATTGGGTGCATTTGACTGAGGTCCCACAGGACTCCGATGCATTGGTATTTTTAAAAAGAACTAATTAAAACAGAAGCAGAAACAATGACATGAAGTCATTAGGAACAAACTGGCCGACAAAGTCATAGAAAAATTGCAATGATACCACTTTTTGCCTGTGAGATATGACAAAAGGTACACATCTGGAGCCCGTGGGGACCCCTAGTTGGCGGGGTTAAGGTTAAAAAGACACATGAAATGCCGTAACTGTAAATACTGTTCACTGAATGTGTGTGTTTAGCGTGTCTAGGGCATGTGTGGGTTTCCTTCCATACACTCACAGTGTTGCTGGCAGCCCCCTCCACAGGCAGACCGTCTTTAAGCCACTCGATCATAGAAGGCGGTTTGGCCCCTCGAGACACACAACTCAGGTTGTAGGACTCCCCCGCATTCAGCAACACCTCGGGACCCCCATCGATCACCGGGTCGTCTGGGGGGACTGGAGCAAAGACATGGCCTCGGTTAGAAAAAACACACACCGTCTCGCCTATTTCCTACGCATGTGACACAAAAAAAACAAACATACTGAGGACGGTGAGTTTGGCCCTCCTGGACCTCAGAGCGGCATCAGGGGCCTGGCATTCGTACAGCGAGTCATCAGACAGATCAGCTGACAGGATCTCCAGGTTGTACTGGCCCAGCTCCTGGACCCGCAGCACACGATACCTGGGCCAGGCTGGTAACAAACAAACAAACAAAAGATAAGACGGCTTCTAGGGAGCCCAAACAAAGGCTACACTTCATATATCTTTTTAAGTTGTATTTTGTATCTATTTAAGGTTGAGATTCAGCTCAAATCTGACACGAATGACAAAAAAGAGCAACAAAAAAATAAATAAATCTGGATTAATTCATATATAGTCCTCCCTCATAATTCTTCCCTTTTCTCCATTGTCCTTGCTGTTCTTTGTGCTGATGCTGCCTAGAGTTGCAATTTATGCCTCTCTATCTTTAACATTTCAGCCCTCAAACACTAACTATCCACAGGTAACATTTCCCTCCACATCCCCATGTGGTGTGTGACACCATGCAGCTTGTTGCAGCTCACGTTGATTAGAAAACATCAGATCTGTGTCACACATCAGGTGAAAAATCAGACTTTTTTTTTTCTCTCCCTGCATCAGCCTAAAGGACACCAGAGAGATGCATGGCCACATGATGCGGGTGATATGCACACACACACATACACACACACACACACAAAACGCTTCATCAAACATACACACAGTTGCACGATGCGCACACACAATAGCGCACACACGCAACACAGCCTTTTTCCAATCCTACCCTTTCCCTTCCCCCATCCACCGCTCGGCCCAGCTGTGTCACTGCTGTACATTCTCACCATTAGGTGGCATCCATGCTCTCTTTTACCGGCGAAAGGGGGGGTGGGTAGGGGGGGGTTGAAAAGATGAATGCATTATGACAGCAACGTTTTAGAGGACTCAAGTCGACTCCAGTCTGTGGTGCAGAATTCATGTTTGCTGCCCAGACATAGATCTCATGTGAAATTCTCCACCGCTGTTTACATGTGCAGCCCGCCGAACTGAGCTCCGCTGCGTGCCTAACCTTGCACGTCCTTGTTTCCTGCGTGCATTTGTGCATGTGTGTGCCTTGTATATACGTGCATTTGCATGTGAAATGTCGAGGGCGAGAAAGCGTATGAAAAGCCCAGAGAAGCGGGGTGAGTGGTGGTGGTGGAGGGGGAGGCAGAGGGACAGAGCCTCATACACAAACAACACATTGAGTGTATGTGTGCACCACTAGTGTCTATTCACATGTTGTGTGTTTTTTTAAAGCTTTGGCTTGGACCACTGGACCATTACAGTAATAATATGATTAAATGAAAGTAAGAATAAAAAGAGAGAGAGAGAGAAAACGGAGAAGGGACAGACAAGGACAGACACGGGGAGAGAAAAGAAATGGTTGACAGAAAGAGGAGTGTATGAACTAAGCGAGACAAGTTAAAAGAGGAATACAGGAGAGGGCTCGGTACGACAGAGGCAGCTGAAAGAACGAGAACAAGAGGGAGAGAAAGGAGCAAGGGATCTTAGAGGAGGAGGTCACGAAGGAATAGCATGATAGACAGGAGAGGAGAGGAGAGGAGAGGAGAGGAGAGGAGTCCCAAATCATAGCACTCACTATATCACAGTGAAAAAAAGGATGAGCTAAGTGAGGAAAAAGGGAAATAAATGGTGAAACAAAAGTAACAGAGAGCTGAGAAAAGAGTCAAAGTCTGCAGACAAACAACAAACACAAGGCAACAGAATGTCACAAATGATGCAGTCCCCCCCCCTCCTCTGGACCAATCAGTTGAAAATATGCCCAATTGTTTTGACCAGTAATTGCATGGCCCCGGCATTATCCCCTCCGGGCTTATCAGTGCAATTCTGCAAAACGCTGTAACCCAGCGATGAGATGCATCATCCCCCTACCAAGTTTTGTCAAAGTCAGACATAATCAAGCTGGAAAATCACCAGGGAGGAAAAAATGCAAAGAGAAAAACAAGAAGAGCTGCATCGTTGGAATGAGGGCTATTTATTAGCTGATGAATTGGCCTTTCAGTAAAAATCAGATATTAACCCGTCAGTGTCACCCCACTGCTCGCATGACAGAGGTGATGATGTGATGTTATTCGAGCAAACTGAAGGGTGTCAGTCTGCAAAACGCGCCCGAGGGAGCTTAGAAATTCCCATCAAACGTTCGACGACGACGCGCGGAAGGTGGCCAAATTTAGCATCAAACTGAACGCATTTTTTCGTCACGATAGGAGGCGATGGGATGTCTGCGGCGGCGGTTTAGGTTGTCTTTCTGTAACATGACGGTAGCCCTCTTTTATCTCATGGGCAAACCTGCTGCGCTCGCTCAATCTAGCTGTAACTAAAACATTGGGCTGCAAAAAAACACTTTGTCAGCACGGATTAGATGCAAACACGCAATGTCCTACTAACTGTGAGGGAGTTTTTGGTGTAAAAAAATAAAAGAAGTGCTGGTCAAAGCATGTTTTTGTCACATCATATAGAGATTAGTGCTAATTGCATAACTGATAAGTCGCTATTTTCCAGCAAAAATGCTTGAGAATCATTTGAGAAACACTTTTTTAGAGAAAATAATTAACTGAATAACAAAGAAAATAATCTGCAAATGAGCTGATTATATCATAATTCACTAGTTGCAAGCCTGAATGTCAAATTTTAGGTTTATTGCATCACTTCTCAAGACCGCAATGCTGGAGCAAGAGGAGTTTCTAGCAACTAAGTCAATGTTTGTTGGCTTGACTTTGAGGTAGGCGTTATTTATTTATCACAATTAATTATACAAAAGTGGATATCACTATTTTATATGCAAGAAATATGCATTCAGAAGCATAATTCATCCCTTACTTTTGGCAGTTTCGCCATCTCCACTCTCCTGCTAACTAGTTTTCATGGAGTCTTGGTGGCAGAAGGTGCTGTTTGGGTTTCAATGCTGGCGGGAAGCAAGTCCTGTGCAGCCGATTACAGCTGATAGGTTTGTAATTATTGCTGACAAAAAATATATTGCCGGCATTAGCGTTTAGCTCAAAGTGCCGTAGCAAGTCTGGTTTCATCGAGCTACTCTGTAATCTTTCAACATGCAACCTGGCAGCTGCAGAAGCACCACCTGGGGCAGGATTCACTGGTCTGAGCTGTAGCTTTAATATCATTATCCTGGATGCTGCAACAGTGGCGCTTGTGTTTGTGCATTTCCAGCTTTTGTTGTGTTAAACTGGGGGGAAAAAAAAAAAAGCGTGGCCTCGACTGAGCTGCAGTTTGTTGTAGATGAAAATGCATCGCCTTCCCTCTGCGCCCTCAAGTGTGGTAAAAGTTGCATGAGTAAAATTGTGGCGCAAAACTTCTGCAGTTTTAAAGATGCAGCATAAAAATGTTGCCTGTCAGCAGCTTCAATCCAAAGCTATCAGAATCAGCTTTAAAAATACAAAAAAAAAGAAGAAGAAGAAGAAAAAAAAACACAGTCTTAGTCACACGCTCAACACAGTGAAGGAAGCCCGAGGAGGGCGTATGATGTCTCACCCCGGAGGTCCTCTCCGATGCCCAGAGCCAGGCCATCTTTGGTCCACTGAACAATGCCAGAGTAGTTGAAGACAACACAGGACAGGATCACCCTCTGGCCCCGCACCACCGACTGGTCTGCCGGCTCCTGAGAGAATCTCGCTGTCCACACTGGCGGTTGAAAGGGGGAATGGTAAAGAAAAGCGAAGGATAAGTTAGGGACTTTCTCACACACTGACTGCAGGCGGGATACTTTATAATCACTCCCAAAAAAAACACACACAGCATATTATTGTATCAGTCTATATCTTTTTTTTTATGGGGTAATTGATTTTAAAAAAAAAGTGCATTCCCCCAGCAGCAATGGAATAAAATAATTACCACCTTTTGATCACACAGTGGCTCGCGGCCATTAACGGAGCGCCGCAGAGGAGTCAAAGAACGGCGTGGAAAGACGGAGGTGTCAGAGACGAGAGGAAATCAGACCAGAGTTAGTGGAGAAGAAAGAGAAAGAATGAAGTGGAAGAGGCGGTTAACGCTGACTCAGGAGAGGAGGAGAGCTTGGAGATCAAACAGACAACTTCAGCCATAGGGTGTCTCACACCCCGTTTTCTTCTCGCTCCTGACTTCGTTTTTTTTTTTTTTTATTTCTTCAAAACTCCACCGCTCTCTCCCCCTCTCTCTCTCTCTTCCCGTCTTACTGTTTCTCCCTTCTTCATTCCTCCCTATGAGTCATCTCCCAGGCTTCCACTCCCCAACCAAAACTACAGTGGCTGTCATTGTCTACTCTCCCTCCAGTCTGTAGTCCACTACCACAGCAGACAGCGCCAGACAGTGGCCCACCGACCATCTAATATGTTGGGGGGGGGGAAAAACAAAAAAAACAAAAAAAACAAAAAAAACGTTAAAAACCCTCTGCTGCTGTTCCACTCGGCGTGATGACAAGTTGTAATTAGCTGTCCCTTGAAGACATGACACCCGAACAACAGATGAGAAGCAATCACTGTGGAGGATTTACTTTAAAATTTCATTCTTTCCATTCCGTCTCTCGCTTTCATTCCCACTTGTTATTTCCAAGAATCTCATACAGTAGATCATTAACCCGCTGCTGCATTGTACACTCCCCCCCTCCTCTCCTCACCCTTTTCCTCCTCCTCCTCCTCCCCTGCCATTGCCTCTCTCCTTCTGTTCTCTCTCCATAATGTTGTGCGTCCTTTACCCAAATTGCTTTGCTTCACCCTCTGCTTTTCGCTCTATATGTATGCATCCCCACTCCTCCTTCACTTTGTACATCTATAATGCTGTCTATGAATGTCCTTTTGCCTGCACTGATTTCCCCCTACCCCTCCTTTACTACAGTATGCACGCGCCTGCTTTCTTTCTATATCCATATATAATGGCGTATATGTCCTTTTACCCATAATGCTTTCTATTTCTGTGTTCCTCCTCCTTGCTGGTTGGAAGGGGGTTAGAGGCGGACTGTCACAACTCATTTATCACATTAAATATCAGCCCTCCAGCACTTTCTCTCTCCCCTCTCTTTTCTCGTTCCCCCATCTCTCCCTCTCTTCTCTCACTTTTTTCCCTTTACTCCTTTTTTTTTCTTCACCTCCTACCATTTACATCTCTCCTTCTCACTTGTCCTCGCTACACTTTTTTTTTTTATCACTTGTTTCACTCCTCTCTGTTTCCCCTCTCTCTCTCTCATTCCCTCACACTTCTCCCCGAGAGCCCTCCAGCGCTTTTCCAAAGGTTCTCTCTCTCGCTTTTTTTTTTTTTTTTTTTAACAACTGCCATATGCCTTTGCAGCCCACCTCTTGCCGCCCCATCGTGACCCCTCGGTCCCTATCTCTCACATTTTTCCCCTCCCCACGGACGTGCACTCTACCCCTATCATGTCATATTTGGTGTGATTTGCAGAGGTACAATATGCCTGATAATACAAAAGAACCCAGTCATGCGAAAAGATTCCTGTACCAATCACAACAATGGCTTCTGACAGTGCAGCGCATTAATATTCCGAAGATAAAGGAGATGTGCGGAGGATACACGCTGAAAAGGGATGCAGATGGAGCTTTGCAACATGCATACCTAGAATAATTCAGCGTTGTACTAAACAAAAACAACAACAACAAAAAAAACAGTCCTTAATTTGCTCCCTGAGGAATGCCCAAATTAACTGCATTAATGGATTAAGATCAACAAAGAAACAACATAGTAGAAACGTTGGGAGGGAGGGAAAAAAAAATAAATCGTGTCAAATAAGTCACACAGCCGAGAACTGTGGACGCTGTGAAAAGTAAAACACAAAACTGTTTTTACCAGCCAGCAACCCCATCAGTTCAAAGTTATATGATTCCTTTAATGGCCACTTGATGCAAGCTTGACTGGCCACACTGAGGAAAATAAGAAACTTCCAATTTCTCTCTGACAGCATGAGGTCGATTTATTTCTTACACTAGAATTTAGGATCTAGTTAGTAAATCTGACTTCTCTATGGTCGTATCTTTTACCTTGTTAACATCTGGTGTTTTTTATATCCTGGAGGACAGTGGACCAACTCCACGGCTTTTTATTTCCACCCTGAAACTGCAATGTGGCTACAAGAGTTGTTAATGAATTAACCACAATTAGTAATTTAATCCATTGAAGATATATTAACCTTCAAGGCAGAGGAGTGTTTGAGCAGAGCCGCAGGTGAGCCGCTGTGCTCGAACTGCAGCGAGCTATGCAACGGTGGGTAAAAAAAAAAGAGGTGGAGGAGGCAACAATGCAAAGTTACATCTAAGCCATCTTAAGGCAGGAAGGGTTTATTTTCACAGAAAGCTTCTGAGTATGTAACTTTGGTACACAGATGTTTTCAAATCAATGCCTGGAGAAGGACTTTGAGGTTTAAATGAGCTGGAATTTCTGAAATCATCCTCCTACTATGAGTGATGGGACAGAGTCCTACACAGTTCTGGCCAAAACTTTGGTGAGCCATCATTGCGGCAGCAGGCTAAGCAGTGCATTCCAGACATCCCTCTCTCCACTAATGCTTTCCAGCTCCTCTTAGGGGGACCCAAGGAATTCTAAGGCCAGGTGAGAGCTCTACGTCTACAAGTCAGTTGGATGTATCCAGAAAATACAGACTCAAACCACCTTAACTGGTTTCTTTTGACATGAGGGAGCAGCGACTCTTCTTCGAGCTCCCTCTGAAGCTGAGTCCAGCCATTGTATGGAGGAAACTCATTCTTTCATTCACTATCAGAACCCATGACCATAAGTTGAGGACTGAGCTTCACCCAACTCAGAGGAAGAAATCCACTGGTTTCCAGCAGAGAATCATGGCATCAGACTTGGAGCTGCTGCCTCCCATCCTGGCCACTTCGCATGCAAGCCGATACATTTTTTTTGTATTTCATTCCTGCCTGTGCTCTTCTTACTGGTTTAAAGCGGGCTGGGCTTGGGAAAAGCTTATGTGACATGCTTTCAAGCACCCAGTTGAAGTTGTTTGTCTGCACAACCGATGCAAATCCGATACTCCCTTTCCTTTTTCTGCGTCTGGTTTCCACTAACTCCTGTAGGAAATATCTGACTTCAGCTGCTTAGTGTTTCACGACGTTCCCCGTCTACCTGCAAACCTGCTCGTCTGTCATTTGTTGTCAGGCAGTCGAGCGGAGTTTGCCGCTGAAAGTAGCTGCCAGCTGAAAAACAAGCATTTACAACCAGGATTGCTTTGCTCTAAACCAAAAAAAAAAAGGTAAGTTTTGAACTGTGAAACCAAAACAATGTGCTGAAACACACGAAGATGCTCCACAAATTTGAGAGAAACTTGTAAGCCTGGTGATAATTCTCTAAGGGGATCTCTTTCACTTCCATTGTAAAAATAGAGATACTGTTCATTATATTCTGGCTATTTTATTTGGTGTGTGATGCTTCATTTACACCAAAAACATAAACTTGAAACTGTTTTTCACATGCGAATATTGTCAAGACTTTAAAAGCATACTTAACTGCAGGTAAAGTATGCAAACGCAAGATCGGCTCCGAGCTGAGAATGCACACGTGGAGGTAACGCAGAGGTAATTAAGCACTGGAAATGCATAATTAGCATGGAATTTTGAAAAAAAGAAAAGAAAAAAGAAACAAAAGGTAATTGTAGATGTTAAAGATTTGCGCTGTAATTTCCTGCATGCAGCCTAATTTGATGAAATGTGCGTGTTCTAAAGCTAATTACTGGATTGTACAGTGTGGATTTACACCATCATAAAAAAAGCATGAAAAGCTCTTTTCTCAGATATGCATGGTGTAAAGAGAGTTTAGCTGGGTTTAAACTACCCCGCAACCTCGACAGTAGCCTGAGGGCAAGCAAATCCTTTCCTCCACCACCTCAGATATGCTAGCTGGAGGTATTCCCTGAACTGCCTGAGTAAACCACAAACATAATCCAAACTGAATACTCCTGAGTGGAGGCTACACAATCTGTAGAGAAAACACCCATGCAAAGGCTGAGGACTGAAAACACTGACTCATTTAAACATGTGCTCATCGCCTTCTGATTTCCATATTACCCAGTTAACACTTGTCAACATGAGTGTATGCGCTGGTGTCTCTGTGTGTTTAAAGAAGGAAATCTGCGCGCTACAGAGCAGTCAGAGCGAAGGCAAGACAGGAGAGTGTATGCAAGGGAGCTTGTATTCTTTCATTATGTGGGTTATGCTGCAGTGACAAATTTAGAGTGTGTCCTGATTTCCTTGAGTCACTGATCCCCAAGATACCACCGGGAGACTCCGAGCACCGTGTCCACACAAAGACTACGGTCACAAAGGGCTGCGACCATGACCACATGCACATGGACACACACACACACACACACACACACAAACAAAAACAGGGAGCACAGATGACCTAACCTTCACCACATGGGCTAACCATTTCCTGTCAACACACACACAAACACAACCGCTCTAAACCCCAAACATATAATCGACACGCAGAGGCGGTTTCCTGAACATGGATTACGCCACAACTCGGAGTAAACCATCGAGCCAGCGGAGCATCTTCATCTTCATTGGGAACAGGTCTCAGTTTGGTCTAGGATTAAGCGCGGCCCTTGTCAAAGTTTGGAAAGGGATTAGGATTAATCTGGGACTGAGGACAACAGCCTTTGCAGACACCGAGACACCAAC